TTTGAGTTAAAGTCCCACCGTGTAACTTTTGAGGATAAAAAAATATGGTTATTCAATTTTATGTTTTTACTGCACAAACAAACACGCGTTGTTGCTGAGAGCGAGTTTGCATTTCCACAAACTTGACTTTATTTGGCCTCAACTTGTTTGTCTCCATACAAATGTTGTTCCTTTGGCTATAATATTCCACAATGTGACGTAAAGGATCAAGCTCCATGGAGAATCAATCAATCAATCAATCTGTCTTATATTAATTATGATTGTGACATGTACAAGCACAGTTCATTTTAAAGGGCCCAGATTTTGCTGTTTCCTCATCAAAAACAATCCTGAAATCAATGACATTTTTAACCCACAAATTCTGCATATTTAGGATGAGTTCTACTCTCAAACTGAAAACACTTATTCCACCTATGTTCACCTAATAATGTCATATAGTAATACAGGAAGTGCCCCACTGTGTTTTTAAACTCCATGAACCTTCACTAGAATCATTTGGATCATTTCAGGCCTGGAACTGCCAATCTCTACGTGTTAACTATAAAACTACTGCTTCATGACATCACAAGGTGGAAGAGAGCATTTTGAGCTTTGGAGATGTAGACAGACTAGGGGTGTAATAGTACATGTGTGAATCTGCTGAATTGTTTCAGTACGGGTTGTTTGGTTCGGTGCAGGGCTGTGCTCGAGTGAATTCATGCAGTTTGTGTGTTTACATTCCACCACTACATGTGCAGAAGGCTCGGCTCTTTAATATTCACAAGGAAATTCGTCTGTGATTGGAGTGTCAGTGTTTCCTGCAGCGCTTTATAGTTAGGGTGGTCACCTTGACAACAATTGCTCCCTGCCTTGGCTCGCGGCCTGGCTCCCCGTTTGTTTTACCGCATGTGCCTTCCATATTTACATGTCCTGTGTGGTACCTGGCGCCTGATTGGTGGGGTGTGATGCCGTTGCTGTTGGGCTGGCTCCGGTGTTCCTTGTGCCTAGTTGGAGGATTGACGTCCCGCTCCTCCAATCCCCTTCCTACACATCCCATCACCTCGTCCAATAGAAGTGCAGTGCGCCTGTTCCTCCGGGCGGCTGGATGTCAGTTTCAGTTTGCCACCGTCGTTGATAGACGTGTGTTTGCCACATCCCTTTGCTACTCAGAATTTTGAGACTCTAGGCTCTCGCTATTGACCTATCGTTTGTTTGTATTTGCCAGTTTGGCTCGGCCCTTGGGCATTTGTATTTTCTTTGAGTTATTTAACCCAATAGAGGTATTGCTTAGTTGTATTTGGAAATTTTGATTTATCGTATGTAAAACAGCTTTTCTTTGTTATTATACTTACTTATATTTACTTTATAAAAGTCACTTTACATCACATCTTGTTTGTGTTACTTTCCTTTGTCCCTAGCACTGGTTCGTAACACTTGGCTACGCCCCTCCAAACCACATGAATCCTGCAAAACTAAGGTCGTAGCACCCCGGTCCTCACTCCCCGGTCCTCACTCCCCGGTCCTCACTCCCCGGTCCTCACTCCCCGGTCCTCACTCCCCGGTCCTCACTCCCCGGTCCTCACTCCCCGGTCCTCACTCCCCGGTCCTCACTCCCGGGGTCCTCACTCCCCGGTCCTCATCACTCCCCGGTCCTCACTCCCCGGTCCTCACTCCCCGGGCCTCACTCCCCGGTCCTCACTCCCCGGTCCTCACTCCCCGGGCCTCACTCCCCGGTCCTCACTCCCCGGGCCTCACTCCCCGGTCCTCACTCCCCGGTCCTCACTCCCCGGTCCTCACTCCCCGGTCCTCACTCCCTGGTCCTCCTCAATAATGAGTAAAACTTCATGCTGGAACCGTTAGTGCTGCACTTAACTTTTTGAAAAGTGTTGTTTACTGTTTACAAGAAATTCACTGTTCCATCAAATATTTTTTCATAATCTTTCATACATTTGTTGCTTATTTGAGAATATTTTATTTAACTCATTAGTATTACCAAGCAGCACTTTGCATTTATTTAATTTTCCCATTTGTATAATGTTCAAACTAATTGTTGGTTTAATAAAAACACAAATAAACAAAAAGGAAATGGTTTTACATTTTGTTCCCAAACTGTACCGAAAATGAACCGAACAGTGACCTCAAAACCGAGGTACATACAGAACTGTGATTTGAGTACTGTTAAACTTTTAAGACAGATTAATAATAAAGGGTTACTCAAAGATCATAAGAGTGAATTTTGTTTATTATAGGACCTGTAAAATAAAAAATGTCTTGATGCTGAAAATACTTGTTTGCGCAAATAAAGTTACATAAGCTACAGTAAGACGCGCTCAGGTTGATTCTTAAGTGTGTCATTTTTCTCTCTGGTCTCTGGAGGAAAGGAGAACGTATTGCTCAAAGTGTCAGAGTACAGCATGTGGCGCGGCCGGGATCTGGTGGGGATTTGGTGATTGATGTGGTGTGGACGTGGGCACTGCCAGCTCCCATAAATCAATAGATAAAATGAGCCATCTGCACTTCATCGGATCTGGAAGCAGGCATGACTTTTAATAAACATGTCGTAGTCAACAGGAGCCCAGCGGCCGTGTCAAGATCTAATTAATGGGGAGCTAGAGGAGGAAATAGGAGCATATCAAGGGCAAAGATATCAGTGTGAGTCTTTATTCGATCTGACTGCACGTGTGAATATCTTTACATCAGATGTCCTCGTCTGCTTCATCTCTTCTGACAGTGCTGCTTTTCTTTTTTGTCCACATTCCTGTTCATTTTTTATTAGATGACTTATCAGAAGTGATCCTATACACGTCGGGCAGTTAGGCAAAGGTATATTTACTCTCGTAGGAGGTAATAATACTGTAATTAATTCTCCAACAGGCTCCTACAGCTCATCATTTTATCATTTTTGCTTCATTTTGCTTTGACCTCTTGTATTTTTATTTTGTATTACTGTATTATCTTTCTATTTTATTTTAACTTGTACATATACATTTATATAATTATGTCTTATTTGACAGCTGTCTCTTGCTACTTCAGAATGTATTATTACCATTTATATTTTTTCTCTTAGTTATTATATTATATTGTGATGTGTGAGCTACTATGTCCAAATCATTTCCCTTGTGGATAAATAAAGTTTGTCTAAGTCTAAAGTCAATTTTTGTTATACTTAGTAACGTAGAATACGTTTTGTAAGATTGTGACTGAACTGAAATGTACTGATTTGAAATATTTTAAAGTAACTCTCGGTGTTGATGTTTTGTCTGTAAAAGGGAAAAGGCAGCAGATCACATAAGATGACTCTTCTTTCTGCTGCTTTTTCATTCATTTCTTTTATGTTTGATGTTGTGACACTGTTGATGTCTTTTTATACTTAATCAATGAAATAAATAAACAAAAAATAATAATAAAAAGAGATATTAAAAAGATATTTCCTTAGACATCAGATTACTCTTAACCTTTATTATTTTTTTTAAGTGCACTATTGATACTTTGCAGTCACATCACGCTGGGGGTGTACTCCGTGCATTTCCATAGAGCACAGGTGTCAAACATATGGCCCAGGGGCCAGATCTGGCCCTCCAAGACCTTTAATCTGGCACTTGTCTGATTTTCTTCTAAAATATTTCAGTTATATTTTCTATTAAAATATTGGTAATTTTCTGCAGTGCTTAGCATAGCAGCATCTCCAGCGCCTCTGTACGTGGCCCCTCCCACTTGTCTCTTTCCAAACGCTCTTAAAGGACGATCGTTTTGACTGTTGACCGTGACACCCTCATCAGCAAAATGTCCAACATGAGAAAAGTGGAGCCGAAGTGCAGGATTTTCCAAGAAAAATTGACTTATTCCTATTTGCAAACAAGTTCATGTTAAAACATTGTGTTTCAGGTTGTTCATAATATTATAATATTTTGTAAAAGAAAGAGTTCATCAATTAAAAAAGATTTCTGTAATAGATTTGCGTTTCTCTGCACAAATATTTGAACTTATTATTATTTTTGGGGTTTATATGACATGAGTTTTCTGATCCGGCCCCTTTGGGATCAAAGTAGGTTGGATACGGCCCCCGGACCAAAATGAGTTTGACACCCCTGGTTTAAAGTGACTATCGGTGTTTTTGTCTGTAAAAGGGAAAAGGCGGCAGAGAACATAAGACAACTCCTTCTTTCTGCTGCTTTTTCATTCATTTCTTGTATATTTGATGTTGTGACACTGTTAATGTCTTTTTATACTTTATGAATGAAATAAACAAAAAAAAAAAGAGTGATATTAAAAAGATATTTCCTTAGACATCAGATTACTATTAACCTTCTGTTTTTTTTTCTTAAGTGCACTACTGATACTTTGCAGTCACATCACGCTGGGGGTGTACTCCATGCATTTCCATGGAGGAATGTTTCTGCAGTTACCATGGAGACACAAAACTCGAATTAATAATCAGTGCAAAAAAAGTTTTAAGACTGTCTGAAAACAACACATTTGAGCATCAGCTTTTTTGTTGAAAATGGACGCTCGAATTGAAAACACGTCAATTGAAATGTGTTGTTTAAATCAATTTTGTTTTTGTTTTTTTTGTTGTTTTTTTGAAGTTTCAGACTATATTAAAACATTTTGGCAGTTTTTCTAGTGTGTGCATTGTGTCAACATGGTAACTGCTTATTTATTTGTTTATTTATTGCTCATGTTATTATTTTGTTGGCATCTATTTAAAGAGAACAACAAAAATCTGACAATTAACATAAATACATATTCTAACCGTTAATATGCCTTGTCTTTGCTGCATGAACAAAAGGAAGAAGACAAATCTTATAAACCCTGCTCATTTCACAGATAAAAAAAAAAAGTAACTAACGGCTGAACATTCTGCCAATAGAGATACATGTAGAACACCTCCAGCATGATGTCACTGCAAAGAATCAATATAATAATAGTAATAAAATCCACCTGGATGAGTGACGAGTAATAAAATGTTAATATTCCTGTCCTGTTGTCTTATGTGGAGCAGTGGTGTCGCTGTGTGGTACCTGGGGCAGGGCTTGCATCACCGTGTCCAGCAGCGCTCTCATCCCGGTGGCCATCTTGAGCAGCTTGAGCACTGAAATGCGGTCGCCATGGCGTCAGCTCACACACATATACGGTACATTGTGCGGGTGCTGTGCTAAGAGCAGTGTGTACCTCGCGTTATCCGCAGCACCCTCATGATGCGGATGATGGTGGGGTTGATGGGCAGTGACGCGTTCAGGTCGATCTCCTCCAGAGTGATGCCCATGATGGACAGCAGCACGATGGCCAGGTCCAACTGGTTCCACCTGGACAAACAGCAACATTTTTGTGGAAACTTTAACACTGTTTGAGTTCTTCCATTTAAAGTATTTATTATTATGGATAAGCAGTAATAGACATAAATCCTCTGGAATTATTGTTACGTGATGATTGAAAATGCATAATGACAGGTTGTCATTATTACTTACATTATTAACTTATAATAAACCTACAAATAATCACAAAAAAACATAACTAGCTTTTTCTAGTTTTGTAATTTTGGTGAAGTTTACAGATTTACTTCCTGGTGAAACATGAGCAGCAGAAATGACATAAGGTTAATTCCATAAATGTGACCTATCAACCATATCGTTAACAAGAACCAGAAAAAGTGACAACAGCTTTATTTGATTGAATAAACAAAACAACAACAACAACAAAAACACTACACCAAATATGTAAACCATGGCCAACACTCAAAAAGAGAACTTGGAAGATTTACTAGAAAAAATCCTCATAACAATTTACACTCTCACTTTTTAAGTAAATGTTACTGTTGAAATATTAGGCACAATTTACTTGTCAGTATTAAGTAAAATGCACTTAACACCATTAACTGTCATGAATTTACTGAGTAATTGATACTCACTTTTTTTTTTTTGTTAGAAGTCATATTTATGTAAATTAATTAAGTAACATATATAAAATGTTGTCATAATTAATTGTATTGCTGTGATGAAATAATGAAGTAAATATTATATGTCGAGTATTTACTGATGTAGAATAAATGGTAAATTTTTATGTTGCGCTTTTCCACCTTCAAGGCTCAAAGTGCTTTACAACAAGGAACCACTCACCCATTCACCAGTGTACACAGATACTAGAGGTGAGGTGGGTTAAGTGTCTTACTCAAGGACACAACAACAGCATTCATCTGTGGGAACTGTAATCGCACCGCTCAACCAATGATGTTTTATTTAATATCAACATAGACCGTATATATGAGGGTCTTCCGGCTCCTTCTGACTCTGGCTCCAATGGACTTACATTAGGATCTTGTCGACCCCCTCTTTGTGACTGCTGCAGTGAGCCTCGTCATTTTGGTCTTAAAATGTTTGTATTAACCCACGACACATGATCCTGACTTTTTTTTTTGCTATTTTGTCCGTGAAATATTCATAACATAGAGCCTGGCTCCAGATTCGCTCCTGTAACTGTGAGCATTGCAAGCCTCATTTGAGCGGCACTGAACGCTATGGGTCACACTCACTTAGTCCACTTCTTTTATACAGTCTGTGCATATCAAGAGCAGGATTTGAACTGCCAACCTTCAGAACTGTGGACAAACGTTCGACCAACTGAGCTCCTGTCACCCCAGCCCCAAATACGTAACTTTTCTTTATCTAGAAGGACTTTGGTATGACTTAGTATTGGTGGGTTTGTGAGTAGCGACAGTAAAACCTTTAAACATGTTGGTGAGTCTATAGTAGATCTTACTCATTAAACACAATACTTCAAATACATGAGTCAAATAAGTACATTTTGTCTTTCTCGCAGAATGATGTTATTCCAGTGTAAAAATGACCACAGCAGATTTAATATATTTTACTATATTTTTCAATGACTATATGAGAGTGACAGTATCTTGTAATCAAATGCTCCATGTTGGAAGTGTGAAAATGCCACAGGTACAATGATACATGCTCTGTGTGAATGCACTTTGCTCTCAGATATGGACAAAGTACAGGACTTCCATAGAGGGCCTGCTGTCATGTGATTTGCCCAAGTTGCCTAGACTGTGCCTTCTCTGGGACAAGTGCCCCGTGTAAACAAGCCTGTGTTTACTGTGCTCAGTGCTGGGCTGCTGCTGTGTTTGAGACTGATTACGGCCATATAGAGGAAGCCCCTCACACCTGCAATCAAACTGAGCTATAGGTTTAGAGTTTATTTGTCCGCAGCTGTCAGGGTTATTTGTGCTGAGTTTTGACCTCACTTTTTACTTTTTATATTTTGTTAAATAAAAAAATAAATGTTAATTAACAAAACAGGAGAAATATATGACTTTTGAAGCTGATCATAAGAGATTGGGTTCATGTGAGGTCAAATTTTGTATCATCGCCTTGTGCTCACAAAGAAGAAGAAAAGATGTTGAACTTGAACTGTTTTGTTTTATGTAGATAGGCCCTGTAATTACAGAGTAGCTGCAGAGATAAAAACCATTAACAGGTTAAAACGTCTGCATTATGACAATTTAACTGCCAATTGTTTTATATAATTCTGACTTAACCTCTGGCTCAATTATAATCTCTGCCATTTGAGAAGTTGAGTCTCCTTTCATGACTAATTATTCCATTGATATTCCACTTTAAAGAGGGTGTACCTGATTTATTTGAAGTACTCAACGTACTTAAATCCCTCCCGGGGATCATAAAAGTTATTTGACTGATTGTAGTAGAGTAAGATTAATAGAAAAGTAATTCAAGTTTGAACCTGCTGTGCTCCACTGACAGACCAAAGCACGAGTCAATCTGGTGCAAAAACAACCTCGATTTGAGTGTGACGTGTGCACACCTCTCTTTGAAGAATCGGCGCAGGCCAAAAGCGATGAGTTTGAGGATGGCCTCGATGACGAAGACCAGGGTGAAGACGTAGTTGCAGTATTTGAGGATCTCCTCCAGGTACTGTACGAGACACATGCTGTTAGTGCCAATACTGTGACAGGGGTGAGGGGCACTGTGTTGCCATAGTTACCTTAGGCTGATTGTAGTGCTCCATGCTCATGGTCAGCAGGTTGGTGAGGATGATGACGGTGATGAAGAGGTCCAGGTAGTGGCTGGTGCACAGGGAGTGGATGGAGCGTCTTAAAGGGGAGTAGTCGGCGTAGTAGGGTCTCTCCTGGGCTCCTGTGTGCAGCAGAGCTCAGAGTAAACAACAGAGCAACAGACATGACTGACTAGAAGAGATCATTTTGAGCCTAAGCAAACAAAACTTGTTATTGGATGCTATTAACTTGAACTCTGTGCTATATTAACTTTAAAGGAAGTGCATCTAGCATGTACTTTTAGTATTTTTAAAAAGATATTACAATTATAATTAAACCTGTGCTGCCAGTGCCTAACCCCAAGCTCAGACTGCACTACTGGTGTATCGTATCATTAAAAGTAGTGAGAGGATCTTCAGACCACATGCCATGCAGTCCAGTGGTGCAGGTGTGTGGTGCCGCGGCGATCAGGATTAATTCTGTTGGGAGTCTGCCTTTGACGGATGCTGGAGCCGACAGCAAGCCTTCTCCCTTAATAAATAAATAGTTATTGCATGAATGTGTGGTCTCTCTTGTGCAGCCTTCAAAGGTAGTACCACAGCTGCACAGCAGAGCACCACTCCTCATGTGAAAATCACACCGTAACTAAACCACTTCAACACAGGAGTCGCAACTGTGGAGCGGGTGCAGTCTGAGCGAGGAGTAAACCTGCAGATAGAGGACACCAGTTTTTGTCTAAGTATCAATCTGTTAAAATCTATTTTCATGTCTTGAGTTCAAAACTGACAGAAATAAGTCTAGCAGCACTAGCAGTGATTAATGAGTGCAGGTGCTGGGTTTAAGTACTGACGTTTCACTTCAGAGAGTCCTTTTAGGCCTAAACCAACTGGATTTCATCATTGAACCTGGCAATCCAAATGACTCATGTGAGGCGCAGTCTGAATTCTGATTGGATAATCATCTTGAGAAATAAAAAAACATAAACAATTTAGCAATCATGTAAATTTAATGATGATGCTTTTATAATTAATAATAAATCAGCATTACAAATGTTAACACTAAAAGCTATATTTGTGTACCTTATATCTGGGGACGCACACTGGTACAATAGTACAATATTGAGGCTATGTCCCAGTTACTTTCTTTCCTTGCTACTTGCTTTACAAACATTTCACACAAAGTGCATCTCAGATAATCCTTGGCGGGAGCACTTTAGGTCACAGAAGAACCAGGTAATAGGATGGAAAGGGTAACAAAGTGTTATTTTGATAATTACATGACACAGCTAAGACGGAAAACTAAAAAGGAAAACATTTAAAAGGAAAAACACTCATTTGCAGCCCTGAAACTGCCAAACTTTGAATTTACAGCTTTTGTTTGAGCCTTACTGAAACTTCTCTTCTCAGTGCGCAGTGATTATTCAAGTGTATTGTAGACTAAAGCAGTTCATTTGGGGGTAAAAAATAACCATTAATTTTAGAACTACCACTTAATGACATCACAAGGTGGAACATGAAGAAAGCCTAATAATCTGATAACTCAAACATGTGCGAGTTTCACCAGAAGTTGCCTACACCACAGTTCAAGAGCGGCTGCTAGTTCAAGTCTGTATCTGTATCTGACATCTCTTGGACATGTTCCCACACGCGCACCTCCTCCTCTTCCTCCTCTTCCTCCTCCTCTTCTTCCTCACACATGCTTAAAAGATTCATATGACATAAGCGATGAAGTCAGCGGTGAGGAGCGAGCCAAGTGTCAAGAGGCATGTGTGAGTAAAAAGTGCCACCTCAGGGATCTAGGCCAATCTATCACACACATACACACACGCATATATACACATACACACTACGTACACACACACACACACACAAAGCCCATGGCACCTCAAGGTGTCTTTGTGCTGCCATCTCACTGCCTGCTGCCAAGCACTTCACCTGGTAGAAGTATTACAGATTACAGTGCAGATAGTGGGAGGGAGCACAGGTTGCATTTTGTGTGAGTCGTGGAGGATTATTGTATTGTCTACATTCATTATACTGAATAACTCTTATATAATCACATCTTCAATATAATGCTCAAAGAACGTTAATGGTTTGAATCTCATGGGCTGCAGCTGCCAAGGACAGGACTTCACAATTTTCATAAATGGAAATCTTAAGGCTATTTTTTATATTCTCTTGGCTACATTCTGCGTGATAAAAGATTTTATCTTTCATAATCTTTTATAATCAGTAGTCAGAGTAATTTGACAGTCTTTACAGTGAAGGTTCCTCTTTTCAACATCAAAACACGTGATACTGTATATTGTTACTAGACCTGTAACGATTAACTGACCAAGAATTTATTGCGATAAACAATAAAATTGACATTTTGAGACCAATTTCAACTAATGTCCATGGAATAAAAATGCAAATACATCCTCTCAATGATCAATAAACCTTACTTTGTAAATAACATTTAACACGGAAACTGTAAGACCTAAATAAAACAGACTTGTTAACATAAGAACAGCCTAATGTGTCTGGCTCACAGCAAGGACTTGTTCACAAAAATGCACTTGAATAAACCACTGCTGAACCAAATACAACCAAAGCATAAAATAAAATGGATTATTAAGTCTCTGTAACAAAATTGCTCTTAAAAGTGATTTTAGTCATTGATTTACATTGGTATATAGTGGCCATTCTCTTTGTGGCTGCTGCTGTGGCCTCGTCATTTTGGTCATTTAAATGTTCGTATTAACACAGGATGCTGTTTCGCTATGAGGTAGTCTCTGTCCTCTCTGGTATCGTGTCTGTGTCTTGTGGGATTTCAGTGGATTTCGGACTCTCCCTGGGCGGGGATAGTTGTGTCGCTCGGGTTTGGGTTTATATCAACTGTTGGGGTTTGAGACATTTCTTCTCGTCGTTTGCGCTCGCTGTATTTGACGCACGTGTCTGTTGAGACGTGTCCCGCTCACCAGTGTTGATTCAGCATCGTGAATTGTTTTCTCACTCGGCGATGAACTGTTTTGGTTCTGACAGCGGCTCGAGCTTGTGTTGCGGCTTCATGTTTAGCTGCACAGACAGCGACGCTTTCTGCACTCAGGCTGCGCACATCCACGTTGGTTCAAGTGTCATTACACTTGTTAAACGAGAGGAGTCAGAGAGCGACAGAAGCCTTCTAACATTCAGTCTCTTTGAGAGTGAGGGAAAACAAACAAACATGCAAATAGAATTTATCGCAGCCGGAAAAGTTATCGAGTTCATTAAAAGTTATCGTACGATTAATTGATTTCTTGATTATTATTACAGGCCTAATTGTTACTGCTGTAAAAGTGTTTGGCTCAGGGAAACAATGGCATGGGATTATAGAGGTTAGTGCTTCAAGGTTGTATTGTCAGTGTTACTCTGGGTCCAGCTCTGATTTTTATTTTTGTATGAAGTACTACCCACATTTACGAGTTTGTTTTTAAGGTCCACTTTGAAACACGCGCTCTTATTGTGAGCTTGCCTACAACTACAGCTATAAACTAACTTGGCTTTGTGGTGTCACCTTCTTGTCTACACAAAAATATATTCAATAAATAAATAAAAGTACACCTACATCTTTTCGACAATGTCAGTTGTTAAATTGCACCATAACTCTGCTTTACAAGTAAGAAATATATGACGTGTTAGCAGCTGATTTCCAATAGAGGTAAAATACTCCCTCTTTAAATACTTAGCAGGTGCACTCCTCTTTTCTTACAGACTGGGCATCTATGCAAATCTAGGTTATTTTTGTAGAATAAGTAGAGCACTTGTAAAATTTAAGTAGCTGCCTGTATTCTAAATAAATTGCGTCGCTGTCCTTGGTGCTGAAGAGTGACTGCATCTGAGTGCGGTTTGCTAATGCCGGGGAAAAGAGCCAAAATACAGAGACAGTGATGAATGGGCTGCTTTTATACAGCGCACTTGATGCCCCAGAGCTCAAACACAGCAACTGCCTGCCCCACTGTATCTTACACTCAGCTACTTGCGGTATAACCTAACATAGCATAACCTATATCGCAGCCTCAAAAGCTTTATACACAAGAGGATTTATATTGTCGTAACTGTTCTGGACAAAGTAGCTTCACTCTACAATTGGGTTCTGTTTTCATTTGATTCTTGCTGATGGAAAACCTTCATTATTCAATATTAAATCACCTTGACAAATGTCCCTGGCCGGTATCACCACATTCAGTCAGTGTCCTGAGGGTTTTGGAGGGATTTTTGACTCAACTTAAGCTGTGATCTTAAAATGCTACAGGATATAGTGACTTGTGTCCTCTTGGCAAGTTGAAATAGTTGGACTGGAGTTGTTTTTGAGGTGTGGTTCTGGACGGGCTGTTGCTTGGAGACTTCTAATGGAATCAAGAGTAATTGCAGTTGAACTGGAATAGCCATATGAATGAGCACAGTGAGTAAATCACAAAGACTACAATGATTTTGGCAGCAAAATGTTCTCTGCAAACAAACTGTCCTGACCTTATGAGTTCTTTTATAAGTAAAACAGTAAAACAACTACAAACCTGTTTTAAATGTATGTGATTCTCACATTTAGCAGTGCATATTTTAGATGCCTTTCAAATGTTTACGCTCCTGAAGTGTTTAAAGTACGCACTGTGGACTGGAACTTGAAACAGCACGGGCTCTTGTGTTGCCTGGCAAGTCTAAAATGATCTGTCTGCATTTTTGTACAGAGTCTGGTCACCACTGCTGTGCCTCCAGTCAGATTAAGACAGTACCGGGCAATCAGATTTGTTCATTTCAGTGACGCATGTGAAATGAAAGAGCTCATTTTGAACAAACATCATCCTCTCACCTCTAACTAAAGTCTAACTAGAGTTTAGTGCTTTGCTCGATGATACTATAAAAAGGTTTTTCAATTCCTTTAAAGAGAGTGCATCATTATTAGTATTATAATATTTTTGTAACAGATACTAATCAGATACTAAAACTATTTAAGCAAGTATCGACAGAGAAAAAATGACATAAAGTGATGGATGATCTTTCCTGAACAGTTCCATCTTGAGTTTTATCAAACCCTGTGTAAGACCACATGGTATAATAAACAAATATTATTATTTATTGTGCAAAATGACAGTATTGTCTATCAGAATCTGTATCAAGCATAGAC